AATATTTTTTAAAAAGATTAAGAAAATCAGGAAGTATGGGTGCTGTCTATTCCATGCTAAAGAGAGAAGCAGTTCTCTAAGAAGCCCATGGAACCAGTGAGGGACCTTTGAGCAAAGTAGAGAGGCTTCCAGGGCATGCTGTGCCTTTTACAGACTTGCTTTATATATCTAAGTCCACCATATAGTGCTAGGTCTAGAAAAAAACCTTCACTGAAAGAGGGGCTGGCTTCTACTCATGTAGGGGAGGTCAATGCCAGGGAGTTGGAGCCAAGCTTCTCCTGGTGAACAGTACACATTCAGGTGGCCCATCAACATAAACTTAGTCCTCTTGCTCTGACAGTGGGCCTCTGCTTACAACTTCATTCAAGAGGTATTCTGCCAGGCAGCTCCCTTCCAGATGATGCTAAGAAGCTGTTCTCTTCACTCTCAGAGACTGAGACATGGCATGTTAATTGAAGAGCCCCCTTGGCTTCTTCCTCTTGGCCTTTGACAGTTGAAGTCTCTGTATAGAACCTGAAGTACCCTAGGAAAAAAGGAATCCCAGTTAATAGTCGCTTTGAACCAGATGTCTCTTGGCTCCTGGTTAGGATGAGGCTTTCTTGAAGTATTTGACATAGATGTTTTGAGGTCTATGTCAGGCAGTAAATGTACTATAAGACTCTAAGTGGGAATGTTTCTCATGGACCATCAGTACAGTACAGTAAAAGGGAAAAAAAGAGTCAAGGTTCATCAGATAGCCCAAGAATGGCAGAGATGAGATGGAAAAGGAAGATGTAAAAGACAAGGATGCTCTACAATTAGGCAGCAGCTCACAAATCTCATATTAAAAAAAATTCTTTTGAGAGAGGGTCTCCCTATAGCCCCAGCTGACCCGAAACTTGCTATGTAGACCAGGCTGGCCTCAATCTCACAGAAATACATCTGCCTCTGCCTTCAAAGTGCTGGGATTAAAAGTGTGTGTTACCATGCCCAGCCTCAAATCTTGTATTATTGAGGCAGTGTCAACTAAGCAGCAACTGTAGATACTGATGCTTGGGGGTTATAGGTTTCAACTCTTCCAGTGCGAAGATGGCCATCTAGGAAGCTGCTCATGTGTGACTTACCATGGGCTCATGTTCAGGCTCTGAGAGGGCTGGAGTTGAGGAGACTGGATGTTCTAGCTGGTTCTGCTTCTGAAGCTGGCTATCAGTTCCTCTAGGGGAGGCATTGCTTGAGGTCTGAGTCTTTCCTGAAAACAGGAGGATCAAGAGAAGATAGTGAGAAATGCCTTCTTCCTATTAGTAGAACATAAGCATTTACCAATCATTCAGATGAAGACCAAAGTTTTATATTAATATATTTACAGATTGAAGTAGCCATAAATACAACTTACAGTTGACTTTGAGGAAACCCCATGTCTATGAAGACTCCCAAGTCCACTTTCAGCAGGTAGGATGAATTTTCTTGACTCACAGGAACTGACTGAACGTCTACACATCCCCTGCTATCTCTCAGTAGGGAGGTTAACTTTCCCACTAGTTTTCTTGCTAACCCCTGAGCATCTATCTGCGCCAGTGCCAGCTAAGAGAACACTCTGTAGTGAGGTAAGTGATCTATATCTATATCTATATCATCTATATCTATATCTATATATCTATATCTATGTGGTTACTGAGCACTTGAAATGTGACTAAAGTACACAAGGAAATGAAATTTTTAAATTTTGTTTATTAATTTAAATTTAAATAGACACATGTAGTTACTAAACTGGACAGCACAAACCTAGACTCCAACTCTAACCCCAAGCAGACCAGTTATGACTGAGGCAACAAACCAGTACCTTGATGCTTCTGTCCCACTTGGATCTCCTGTTTGGTGACTGCCACATACAAACTCTGCAGATTCATGGCAAAAGGCCTTCCATCACCAACAGTGCATGCCTCTGGTAATTTCTAGAGGAAGGGAGAGATTGTTATTGGTCTGCCTGGCCAGAGAAAAGGGACCTAATATCCCACTGACAAAATAGCCATCAACTCCAACCAGATTTATATAAAGAAGTTAGATCCAGGGGCTAGAGAGATGGCTCAGCAGTTAAGAGCACTGGTTGCTCCTGCAATGCTCCTGCACAGGACCCAGGTTCAATTCCCAGCATCCACATGGTGGCTAACAACTGGCTGTAACTCCTCTTCCAGGGGATTCAAGGCCCTCTTCTGACTTCCACAGGCACTGTATGACATGGGTGCACTTATATACATGTAGGCAATACACTCATACACACAAAATAAAAATAATAAATAAAATATTTTTTAAAGAGAAGTTAGATTCAATATAGGGCTTCCAAGCCTCCTGGCATCACTTTAGAGTTCCTGGGCATTCTCCTCTGAAAGGCAACTCCAAACATCCACGTTTCCACCAGTCATTAGTCTAAAATGCTTTCTCTGGAATATACCACAGGTCTCTGGCCTCTTTCTTCCTAAGAGATAACCTCTCCGGAGGGTTGTTTTAGGAAATCACCTTCCTGGGCTTGGGGTGTAGTTCAGTAATAGAGTGCTTGTCTAGCATGTACAAGCCCCTCAGTTCAGTTTCCAGTGTGCCTCCTCCCAACACGCAAAGGAAATCATACCCTCTAAATGCTCCTGAGCTATACAATTTGCTGTTTTAACTAAATTTACTCCTGAACTTCCACACTAGAGTAAGAAAAAGACTGAAATCTAGGATGGGGTAAGGGGGCAAAATAGGAAGACAGACAGAAATGAGAAAAACTTATGGAGACATGATGTTAGTCAGAGATGGGAAATAAAGTCAACAGAGCATCTGATCAATCTGCCATTTTATATTCAGCCCACTGTACTTTACTATAATCTATATGCCCTTAGTGGGGGTGCCAGCTCCCCCAACACATAAAAAATTTTTGAAGGTGAAAATAATACTTTTTTTAAAGCACAACAATATATATATATAGAGAGAGA